TTCTGTATGTCGGCGCCATGGCCGACCATAAAAATAAGTCGACCGTGGGCTTCTCTCCGCTGGAGATGCGCCGCTAGCCCGACGCGCCGGAGCGGTCTCGCGCTCCACACTTTGCCGAGCCGCCTTGGGGTTCTCTCCCAGGCAGATCACTAAAGTGACCAGCAAGAGAACGCTCATCCACCGCACCCTGTTCCTGTACGATACACAAGGAAAACGTCACCAATCTTTTTCATCATAACATATTTAAGGATCTGTATGTCTTGCTATGGTAAAAAAAAAACTAAGAAAACAGGCAAATACAATTTGGTTGATCAGATTCATAAACTAAGAACATGTACATACCTTGTGTCTACGCTCATTTTTACGCCAACCTCGCGGTGCAAATGGGACACCTCCTCTTGCGACGCTCTAAGTTAATAAATGGTCTCACTTCCCTGTTTACGTTTGTCCAAATGTTTCTTCAATCCTCCCTGAGGGCAAGTGTGTAACCTGCTGATGAACTTTGCACAATATATGCGGCGTCAGGTTTTACCGAAGCGAATTACTGAGGGTGTGTAGTATACGTGCTTTGAATGTCAACGTCCCACCGCCCCTCCCCCCAACAATCGTAGAGGACCTGTATAGGAGGCTATACCAATAGACCGTTGTCTTCAAATCGAAAAAGGTCGACACCACAACACACCAGCCACTCAGAGACTGTGTCCCACATGTAATGAGAATATTGAAGATGAATTTCACTTTGTTATGACATGTCCCACCTATAGAAAAGAAAGAGATTCATTGTTACAGACTATTACCACTAAGACAAAGTTCACCCAATCTGGTACACAGTACGATACATTCCATGAATTGTTGTCATGTCCTACTACCATATCTGCTTACGTAGGTCAATTTCTGTACACCTTATTTCATAAGCGAGACCAAATCATCAATTCATGAACATATTGTGACTCATATAATGTATAGATAGTAGTTTGTAGTAAGAAATGTAATAAGATAGTATAGTTTTGTAGTATCGTTGTATTAATGCCCCACATTGTACCATGTACGATTGGTAATAGAGTTCATCATCATCATCATATACAAATGGAAATACTTGACGGACATGCAGCCACTCTCTC